GATAATGGACTTTTCTGATTCTCTATTCAGATTCTATTAAAGAGTAACATCGATCATCGATGTAAAATGTAATGCTGTCATGGCGTTCCTGTTGTAGAACAAAATGAAGAGGAGGAAATGGAGGACGGCGAGTACAAGGTAAAATGACGTTGATTTGACTCATTTATATGCTCTCTCAATTACTCTTTGGAATTCAAAATCTTTTTTTTTTTTTTTCCGGTGATATCGTCAGACCTAAGACCTGCCTGTGGTCCTCAAGGATGGCTCAGTTGACACTGAAGAGTGACAGCCAATATGTTTACAGTTTGTTTTGTTCAAGTTCTCTTTGTTCTTCTGTGTTGTTTGAGGTAAGAGGGAGCACAGGTGTGATTAAAACTGTTTGTGATTAAAACTATTACTGAGCACTTAAAACAAGACTGTTGATGTAGGTTTAAAAAACTTGATTTATTTCAGTGTACACAAAAATAAACTTCAGTTAGTAAATACCTAGATTTAAGAATTTTTTATTTGTACATAGACTGGACTGACATACTGTGAATGAAGGCACATCTCACATTGTTACCCATGTACACCCTGTACATGTATTCATAGTTCTTTCTTGATTATCAATATGGCAACATTTCGTTCATGAATTTGGTTCATGATGAAAAACGGAAAAAAAAATGCACACACACCAAATATGTTGATGTTTTGGTAACAACACAAACTGGAATACAAGACGCACATTGATTTAAAAATAAATTGATAAAATGCTAATAAATGTGAACAGATATAAATAATACTTTAAAGTGGTCAGTTACGTGCAGAAAGAAACAATCTCCAAATGTCCATTTTAAAACCACTTAAAATGTGACTTGGCTGAACAATGTGCAGTCATCTCATGCGTTCAGTATTTGAAGGTTCAAAGGCTCCAGGAATTTGCCCGGAATTAGTTGGTCAGATGGCCGACTGAAGTAAAATGACATTAGTTCCTGGAATTAGGTTTTCGTCATCCCCCTCGATCAGGGGGTCCCACTGATTGAAGTCTTTTTCCAAATCTTAAAAAAAAAAAAAATTAAATCAGACACTACTCGCATTTTAAATGTCAGAGGTAATGGGTTAAGACGAGTTTTACCAAGGTGCCGTTGCAGAAATGCGAGTGACGCTTTGTTTGAGAGGTCGATCCCGATTTCTGGGTCGAGGTCACCCTTAAGCTTCATCAGCTTGCCGATCAAGTCTCCTGTCAGAAAGGTGAAGTCTGGGAAAGACTGGTGCACAGTCCCTCTGCAGGAACAATGGCAACAAAACACATCACAATGAGAGAAATCAATGCTGTTTTTTTTTTTTTTCCTTTTCATCAATGTTCTTGTATGCTCGTGCTGTACCTGATCGTCACCATTTTCCTTTCTATGTCTGATGAGTCTAACTTTTTGATGCGCTTAATGTTCTCTGCCCACTGGAACTTCTCAGAGTTGACAAAAAAGATAGGCTGATTCACTTGAGGCAAGGTTTCGTCTTTTAACGGGAACATCCAGGCATCCAACGCTACAGCACACCTGAGAGAGAGGGAGAGCAAGATAGAAGGACGTTCTCAAAGACCCCCTCAATGGCCAAGTAAGTGCTTCATTTTAGACTGACTTCCTGTTTCAGGGGAACTTGCCTGCCGGTGAGACCCAGTTGGAGATATCAATGAAAAATATCACATTCGAACCATAATGCTCATTTTTTAATTGGCTTGATTTCAACAACAAGCTTTTTGCCGTGACTGAATTTTGAGGCAGGTTATGGTTGTAAATAGAGGAAGCCGTAGCTCGCAGAGAAGACTGTGGGCCCAAAGTCAGCTGGGATAGGCTCCAGCTTCCCTGTGACCCAAGTGAGCTTAATTGGGATAGTAAATGGATTGAGGTGAAGAAACTGCACTTACTTGAATTTGACCTCTTTGGCTAGAGCTTCGATGACGGTTGCTCCCCCGAAGGAATGGCCCATCACTGCTACTCTGCCGAGATCGATGGAGTTCTTGCATTGAAAAGGACATTTTATCAGAGGTAGGTTTACCAAAGGACCGACACAAAGTACATAAACATACTTTATATCTACTCGTATAAAATCAAAGGGGAGGCCATGTCAAGATAAAATGATTGTCTTGAAAATAAACAACAGTCTTAAAGGAAACCTTTTGAAAATTGACTTTTTAATGCTGCTGTGTCCGTGTGCCAGATGCACACGGTGTTTTGTATGAACTTCTGCATCCACGAGTGAAAATAGATTGCCTTTGGGGGCATCATTTGACTTACTTCCAAAGTCTTCCAGTCAAATTGTGTATGCAAAACATTTTGCATTGGAACTCCTGCGTTTATTTCCGTTAGTTTCTGAAGCGCAAGGATGCATTCGTCGGCCCTCTCTTTCACCTGGAAAAGACGCAAGGTTCTGTCTCAAATTTTTTTCTGTCTCAAATTTTACACATTCTTCAAAAAATTGTTGACATGCAAAAATAACCTTCTGTAATATTTCACAGCACCATAAAGATGAGAGACTTTTATTTCATAACTGCAGTCTTGTTATGTTGTTAAAGTGAGACTCCTGTGGGTCGAGTAGTGTAGTCAAACAATTTAAGGCTTCATACTTGCTTGTTTCTGAGGGGAAACTCTTGCTCCCCTTCTCGCAGACTTCTGTAGTACATCCACTCCCTCACCAAGGTGTCTCTGAGTGAAGTTCTGGAGGAATTCTTGTTGGCTGTATCCAACTCGTTCGTTGGCTGGAGGTGATACGTGGCTGAGGCAGACTGGTCCCTGTGGGAGACAGAAGTGCAAGTAAGATATTTTTTTTACAAACGCCACTGTGATTTAGTGTGTGATTTGAGAGTGCTCGGAAATCTGCCACGTCCCACTTGAAACTCAGGAGATCGAACCTCAAATTGTTCCCAGGTAAATGAAAAAGGAAACTTCTAAAACCATAGTGGCATTCAGTACTGCTCACCTAAAATTTCATGGGACTAAACACTGTTACACTTGGAGTCATTTCATGGACAGTTCTGTCTATTGCAGTGTTGATTGTGTACGGTACACATACCTGTGTTCCACAGAGGCCACTATGAAGCCCTGAGAGGCTAGTTCTGTACATATGGCTGAATACAAAGTCCTAACAAAAGGGGGGGGGGAATAACAACTTAGACATTCCGTCAAAAACAAACAAAAAAAAAAAACAACAACATACACAAAATGGTACATGTTTAAATGTGTCAATGCCCCCCCTTCCCAAAAAAAAAAAAAAAAAGTTGGTATATACCTGAAGGCCCCCAAACCATGCGAAAAGATAACTACTGGACATTTTTCATTTGAATTAAATGGAGCATCCAAGTAGGCGGGAATCTTAATGGACCCTGGAAAAAAAGGGTAAATAAATAAACTGCACACTCTTTCGCTCTTTTCCAATAAGTAAAGCTCACATTTAAGTGCTTGTTCTTATATTATGAACTATAATTTTAAAAATTATATAATTTTTAAGCGGTCAGAATGAGTGCAACATGACTAACCTGTGGGGATGAAACTACAAAAAAACAGGAGTGTCATTGTTATTACCGAAGAGGCAGTTGAATATTCTTTCACCGAAAGTCTTGTTGATTTTCATGAATTCCACCAGCCCGTTAAAGTACTCTCTGTTTGGAATCCAGTCTGGCAACTCTGCTTTTTCCATCCTTTGGCATGGATAGTAAAGGCGGAAGAAGCTGCCCTGTTGAGGAAATGCAAACATGAACAAAAACAATCACACTGGGTGTTCTTCCTCATCCTGAGCTTCACCTGCAATGTGTGATCCATCATGAAGTCGGTGCATCCTGCAGGATTTGGGCCTTTGGGTGGAGGGATTTCAAGGTTGTTACACGACATATTTCCCATAGTTGAAAAATTTAACTTTCCACCTCCCCAGATCTGCAGACAAAAAGGGGTAATGGGCTGTGTCAAGTCAAAAAAAAAAAGCATGCACACGTCTTAGTGTGATAAAAACAAAACCTTTGTTTTGTTAACCAATAAAATTATATTACTCATGGTGTTCAATAACATTAATGACGTTTTTATTACCTTCCTATATCTCACTGACTTCTTTCGGGAAAACTCAGCCCCGGGTCAACCTCTCGTGTCCGATTACGAAATACAACCTGAATTAAAATATATATATATATTTTTTTTTAGTTAGTAAACTATTTTGAGTAGTCGGACATCAATAATAAGTATGACATTCATAATTGTCTGGCATTTTTATCTCAAAGCATGACTGGCTTTGTAAGGGGACACGTTTTTGATGGCTATTTCATTTCATGTCAAATCACAACAAAAGCGCTGATATACGGGCTAATGTGAAGGAAATTCAGGAAAATCAATGTTTGCTCAATTTACGAGTCAATGTCATACTGTAGTGTTAGGAAACATACGATTGGTTTTCACAGGTAGGAAAGACGAGGAGACAACGACCTTAAAATTAAAATGACATCTTACCTGCGGAGGTAAATACTGCTCGAGGACTACTGGGCAAAGTTTCCGCAATCCATGTCGCAACATTCAAATGACTTAGCCAGATCGAAGTGTGAGCCACTAGGGAGTGGTTTTGACAAGGTCGGGTGTTAGAAGGTAATGCCTCCCGTTAGCCACGACTCAGTTCATCGGATTCCTTCCTCTAACCATTTTGGAACTCATATTGACCGCTGTAAACATAGTGTGCGTTTCTAATCATAGACGTGCCAAATGACGTTGTAACATTCAGTAACTGCATCTCAACGTAATTTAACCTCGGACGTCAAACTCCGTGAACGTAACGACAAAACACCGGAAGCCTTTTTTATCTTATAGCCGCAATCTTCCGGCAAACGATAGGTGACGCTGTGCGTATTTTGGCGTTTGTGTACCACCTACCATGCCAGCGAAGTAGAAACTGTTCCAAGGCGAAAGTAATAGCGATGCAGTAATCACATTTTCTTCCTATGTTGCTGATGTACTTATTTATACAAAAATGAAATTGGTAAGTAACATGCACGTATTATTAGTCTTTCTCTGACAACGTAATTGTACAGTCTAAAGGTATTGGGATGTCGTAGCAGATGTTTTAGGCTTAGCAACTCGCAGGTTCTTAATGTCATTCACGAGCCAAATAGTAAACTATCGCACTCAGTGATGTTTTGAGAGCTGATGTTAATATACTCCGTCTGTACATATACGTTTTTTTGTTTTGTGGGCAATCGATGATTATTCCTTTCTTACTGATTGGGTTCAATCAGTACTGTCTGTCTGGCCATCCCACATTACCTTGCAATGTCCTCAAGTTTAAATCGACCACCATCATGCTAGATTGTGGATTGGACACCACGTCTGTCCTCAACTTCTTGCCTCTTCCCCTCGTGCACAGGTGAGTAATGTTGTTTGGCTATAGTGTATTTGTTAATGAAATTAGCCACTGAAAAGTCAACTTTCCCTTCAAGTGTACTTGAAATTACAGTATGCAGTGGATATGTTTTGCTTTTACAGCCCAAGACTCTCAAAGCTACCAGGTTGGAGCGCCAAAGACGGAACACTAAACTTGGAAAAGGTTGGAGAGACTGATTTTGGTGGATTATGAGTGATGCTTTTGTTTTGTGTTGCGTTTGTCTTGTCAGACTAATCGTTGACTGTGAAATGACTCTCACGTTCTGATATTTCCAGGAGCTGAAAGAGTGTGCAGGCAGAGTGTTTGTGGACTCACAGCCAGAGTTCTGTCTCCCCGAGGTATTACATTGAGGAACTGCATGCAAACTCCAGCCTTTATTTTTAGACAAAATGCTCGTTCACAATGCTGCAAAGGACAGGAACAATGTTTAGTACTGTACTAAGGTCTTGCTGCACATTCAGCGGTAATAGGTATGTAAATGAGCTCGATTTGTGTGCAAAACAAACAAAACAGAGAGAACTGCTGGATTTGTCAACGATCGATGTCATCCTGATCTCCAATTACCACTGCATGATGGCCCTGCCCTACATCACAGAAAACACAGGCTTCACTGGCACAGTGTACGCCACAGAGCCCACCCTGCAGATTGGAAGGTAGAGAGACATATTATCTGTTTTACTTTTCAGTTGAAACATTTGTGACATTTTAGTACGGTCTTTAAACGTATTTGCCCTCTCCTGAAGCTTTTGAAATATGGCTTTAAAGTGATTTGGATTATCTTTGTCTGATATGAAAATGTTTTTGATCTTAAAACATTAAAGTGGGAAAACGATGCAACAAAGCATTTTGAAAGCGATGAATAGTGTTTCACAACACTGTATATGACTGTGGAAAAGGGGCCAGGGGTGTAAGTTACTCCTGTAAATATCATTTGCCGGTGTTTGCGTTTTAAAGTCATCAAGTGTATTTATTCAGACTGCTGATGGAAGAGCTGGTGAAGTTCATGGAGAGAGTTCCCAAAGCTCAGTCTGCCACCTCCTGGAAGAAGAAGGAAATACAAAGGTATCTTTCATCATTATTCAAAACAAATTCTGCTGGAGGCAGCTCTATCTCACTGTCCTCTTCTCATGAGTACAAGTAAGGCAAGTTGATATCTGCAAAATACATAGTTTGCAAGCAGGTCGAGTATTAAGGCTTTGCCTCTCATCCTATGATAAGGCAACATGACTCAGCAAAATTGACTGCATGATTGTCTTCCACCCGGCTACTTTCTTGTCAATTGGAACGCATTGTAAAGAATATTCCTCACCTGATGCCTATTAGCCATCATTTAAGTTCCTAGTCGCTTTTTTGAAAAGCAGTCACTATAGGCGTGTGATTTTCTTTCTGTTCTTAAAATAAATCACATTGTGTTAATTAGTTCCTTCTTCACGCTTGTATATGTGACCTGTCAGTTTGATTTTTATCTACAAGGTTGCTTCCTGGACCCCTAAAGGATGCCACCGATGTCTGGACGTGGAAACGAAGTTACGGAATGCAGGAGGTCAATTCTGCCCTCAGCAAAGTTCAGCTTGTGGGTTATTCACAAAAAGTGGTAAGAAGCTGCCCTAATTTTGGGCGCTCACACACACACACACACACACACACACACGCTCACACACACACACACACGCTCACACACACACACACACGCTCACACACACACACACACACACACACGTTCCAATACCTTTTTGACATTCGAAATTGTACACTTAGTTTTTATGCACACAAAATCCAAGGAATTTGATTGATTTCTTTTTTGCTGCAGGAGCTGTTTGGAGCTGTACAAATCTCCCCGTTAAGCTCCGGCTACTCGTTGGGTAGCTCCAACTGGATCATCCAGTCTCATCATGAGAAAGTTTCTTACGTGTCCGGCTCGTCCCTCCTCACCACACACCCGCAGGTAGTCTCGAAACGTCCCATTCCACTCTGGTCAAAAGTTAAGCAGTCTTTCCTCTGTCTTCTCCCAGCCGATGGACCAAAGCTCGCTGAAGAACAGTGATGTTCTCATTCTGACAGGTCTCACCCAGATGCCCACTGCCAACCCAGACGGCATGCTGGGAGAATTCTGCAGCAATCTAGGTTGGCTAAAATATGCAGACGAGCTACTGTGTGATTAATCAAAGATGCATTTTGTGATGATTTAATTGTTTGTTGCATGTGCCTTGTAGCCATGACAATCCGTGCCGGAGGCAATGTTCTTGTGCCGTGCTATTCTTCTGGGGTGATTTATGACCTGCTAGAGTGTCTGTACCAGTTCATCGACAGTGCCAACTTGGGTACTACCCCCTTCTACTTCATCTCCCCTGTCGCCAACAGCTCCCTTGAGTTCTCGCAAATCTTTGCTGAGTGGTGAGGACATGTTTTTTTTTTTCTCTTGACATTTTGTTTTACTCATGTGGCTGTAGAACAGGGGGAAAAATAAATTCTTTTTTAAGCAGCTCTATGTCACACAAGCTCACTTTGATTTTAAATGTCATTTAGGCTCTGTCACAACAAGCAGTCAAAGGTGTATCTTCCGGAGCCTCCATTCCCCCATGCAGAGGTACATACTCGACAACAATAATGTCATATGTTGTGTGGAAAAGTGGCACTTTTGTAGCGTTCTGAGTGAATCTTAGAGATTTTGACGACAGATTGGGCTCTATAGTGTTCTTACCAGCCAGGCTTGTATTGTAATCGGTCGCAAAATGACTCTACATTGGGCTAGAATGAAATACATTCTATTTTAGCTTGTCGGGCATAATCCTCGCATCAACATTTTCAGAAAAAAAGGCATAATTTAAAAATTCTGAGATATAATGTATTGTTAGTTTTTTGTCATTTTAGCATGTTGAATAATTTGTCAAAATAACAGATCCACATGGGGACTAACGAGTAGGCAAGACTATAACTGCTACTGCAAGACTGACAAAACGTGTCGTCTAAAGCAGGTGTGTGATAGCTAATGTGTGAGTCCTGCGCTGTTGTTTCAGTTGATCCAAAGCAACAAGCTGAAGCACTACCCCAGCATTCATGGTGACTTCAGCAGTGACTTCCGCCAACCATGCGTGGTGTTCACTGGCCACCCCTCCCTGCGCTTCGGGGATGTGGTCCACTTCATGGAGCTGTGGGGCAAATCCAGCCTGAACACCATCATCTTCACCGGTGATGAGATCTTCAAAACTTGCAAACACACAAGCTATAAAACTAAGCAGTCCTGGTTTGAAAAAAAAGAAAAAAAAAACGTGCCCGTACCTGATGGCAAGGTTATCATTCATTTGCGCCAACAGAACCTGACTTCTCCTACTTGGATGCTTTGGCCCCCTACCAGCCGCTGGCCATGAAGTGTGTTTACTGTCCCATTGACACGCGTCTTAACTTCCACCAAGTTTCAAAGCTGCTCAAGGAGGTCCAGGTAAGACGCTGCACCAGTGTAGAAAAGTTTTACAAATATTCTTAAAAAATATTGCTATGCAGCCGACACCCGCTGTTTGCAGGGAATAGAGACCAAGCTGGCCCACGAAGAGCAAAAATCTGTGTTTCATTCATGCCCACTGAAATGCATTGGCAAAAAAATCCAAAACAAAATGCTGTTCAAGATTCAATATACATTTTCCATAAACTCCCAAAACTCTCCTTGCAGCCGGTGCATGTGGTATGTCCCGAGCAGTACACCCAGCCTCCATTGACTCAGTCCCATCGCTCCGATCTGATGCTGGAGCTGCAGCCCCCTCCCATGGCCTACAGGCGCTGCTCCGTGCTCAGCCTGCCCTTCAGACGGCGTTACGAGCGCGTCTATATTCTACCCGAGGTGAGACACGCCGGGGGGAGGCCGACTCATCCTACCACACCAGTGTTTGTAAAGTGCAAAATGTCCGTATGCATTTGCTTAAGTTGGTGCTAGGAAATGTCAAGACTCTATTACAGGTATACTGTATTAAAAACCCTGTCAGTAAACAAGTGGGTAATTTTAAAAACTTGACATCATCTGCTCTTGGTCCAAGATTGCCAACTCCCTGGTGCCCTCTGAGATCAAACCTGGCATCTCCGTGGCAACCGTCTCGGCCATGTTGCATTCGAAAGACAACAAGCACACGCTGTTGGTGAGTCCACCACTAAGTGGCCAAATAGAGCTACGTTGTCACTGACTTCTGACAAGGCTGAACTGTGATCAAACTACACAACTGTCCATGTAACGCACTGATCAATTGGAAAGCTATTTCATGGGTGACGGGGGGGAGGAGTCGCAATACAATTGCTGTCAGTGGATGCCATGAAAAATGTGATGACTATATGAATAATATCCAGATCCCTACCAAAGTTACAACATGAAATGGGTTCTTCGTTGGTGCAAAACCATTTCTTGACAATATTTTGTGCATTCAAAACTAATGTTAATTGACACAGTATATGAGAAATCAAGAGCAGGACAAGAAAAAAAAATCTCCAAAAATGTACTGGAAGTGCAGTACAGATATTTTCGCATTTTGGATCGCCAGTCAGTTCCAAAGCCGCCTCCTGCGCCGCCGACCAAGAAGAGGAAGCGAGTGATGGAGGAGCCCCCAGTGGGTCAGGCGCCCAAACCGCTGCTCAGTGGAGCCGTACCCCTGGAAGCCTTTCTTGCACTTCTGCAAAAGGTTGGCATTTTTATTTTTCACCTCATTTTGGAGTCGTAATGTCACAAAGTCGGCCAAAGTAATAAGGACATAAATGACATGAAATTGAAGGTGTGATTGTATGGGGAAGTCATCTACTTTTTAAAAAAACATACTACATATGGGAATTAATTGCGCTCGAGATATAGTCATAATTTTCGATATTGCAATCAAATCCCGTATTTGAGATTATTCTCGTCATAGTACAGGAACATGATCCATTTTCATAAGAATTTATCCTCATTAGGTAAACTGGAGCCAATTCTGGAAAATTTAGGGAGAGCGGAACAGAATGTTTTGGGCACTGCAAAAACTAGACTTGACAAAATATTCAGCAGTACGAAGTTAAGTTGTGCACATTCGCTTTGCAGAATGGCATCATGGAGGTCAAAGTGGAGGAGACGGCAGAGGGACACATCCTTCACCTGCAGGCGGAGGACACACTGATTCAGCTGGAAGAGGACGGGACACACATTGTGTGCGACAACAATGAGCCGTTGCGCACGACACTGCGAGACCTGGTCCTGCGCTTCCTGCAGAAAATCTGACCTGTTACTCAGGAATGTGACACTCCTCTAGAATGAAACCTACATGGGCGAAAATACCCCCTTATGTGAAAAAATCTATATGCATTAACACAATTCCCATTCTCCTGCCCCCCATACGACGAAAAAAAAAACGTTGCGTTATACGAAATCATTTTCTCTGCTCCAGCCTCGCGAAGACATTCACTACAACAAAGTCTTATCCAACAGTGACCTCAACTGGGTCGACGGACATTCAAAAAAACTCAACTCTCAACTCAACTGTATTTATAGAGCACTTTCAAACAGCCATCACTGCATACAAAGTGCTGTACATGGAGCAATTTAACATATACAACAAACAGTAAAGCAAATCGGTAATAAAGACGGTAGAAAGCACCGAACAGCAAAACCAAGAACAAATCCTAAGTCATGCTGAGTCAAATGCCAAAGAATACAAGTGAGTTTTGAGGCGGGTTTTGAAGATGGGCAGCGTTAATGAGAGAGAAGCGCTCCAGTTAGCGTAAGGTTTTTAGCCTTCGTGAGCTAACTGTGGCCATCGAGGACCACGAAGCATCCGGTGGCTGGCTTAAAAGTTCATTGCATGCCAGGAAGTATTTATTGTTCGATTCAGACGAGGATGGACGTTGCATTGCTAAAATGGCTACAAAACTGACATTTGGATGTCAAGCAGCTAAGACAAGAAGAGCTCTGATGCTGGAAGAGAGGGTAAAAGTGATTAAAATGAAAGACAGAGCAAGCAAAATAAGACATTATCCAAGAAATTGATGTAAGTTAAAGTGAATGCTGATCGTAAATTTCGCAATTTCTTTCCCTTTTTTTCTTTTTACACTGACAATATGAAGTGTCAAATAAGTGTGTGCTCATACTTATGCACTATTGGAATAAAAATAGGACACATACGTTTGTGTGTGTGTGTGCTTACATCTGAGATCAAATTTGCTACAGTGAAAAACCCCCTGTTGTGAAAAATTTCTTGCTGCAAACATGATTTCGTTGTAGAGGAGTTTCACTGTAGTGTGAAATTGTGTTTTGTATTAAAGAAGACCTTTCGATGAGCTTGTGTGTTGATTTGATGATTTTCTTGCACTTGTTGCATTGCTCAAAAAGGAGGATACAATTTTGTCATTTGATATTTTAATTGTTACTCAGTGTACAACTAAAATACATTTAATCGTGATATAAATGTACAACATATTACAATGTGCCATTGCTGTCGTAATGCAAGTCATGGGCAGCAAATAAGCGATAGTGATTGACTGTCAAGAGATTCCGGGCTTTTAGCTGACAGACTTAAAATGGAAAAACAGGAAGTGAATAATCTTCAAGACCAGAACATTGTTTTTTTTTTTTTTGCATTTCAGTGGATCTTGACTTAAAAACAGGGTGAAACAAAAACAAAAAACCACTGTTGGTGCCATGGAGCCCACAAAAACATTGCCACAAGCATGTACGTTATAAAATCTTTTCGCAATCCTCATTTAATTCAATAAGTAGCAATGTAAGACAGAATTGTCCCTTCTTTATACAAATGGGTATGGATGTTTTCTAGTGCGATGTCATTGCCTTCTGGTCCAACTTGAAAAATGTCAAGTCATCCTGAGCTTTTAGAAAAGTATTCGAGCTACAGTGGAATAGGTGTAAAAGAAAAAAAAAGTGTAGCTGGCAGTCTTGCACAGGATGCTGTCATGAGAGTTCCAACAATTTTTTTTCAGCAATTACTGAAAGTAAAAGTTAATTCCAAGTCGGAAAAGCTCAGACTGTCGTCCGCTGCGCTGCCGCCAAAACTGCTCCAACTGGCAGCCCTGAGTCGCATCTATTGTCAGTCAGAAGAGACAATTTTGTCTTTGGTGTGCAACGTGTGAGATTCAACCGAGTAAATGTGCCCCCTGTTTTTAAGCACGCTTATGTTCATCTTCCTGCTCTACTTGGAGTCTTTCTCAGCATCCAGTAGCGCAGACTGGACGCCCAGCTTCTTTAGCTCCTCTACCAGATCGCCATTCTGGTGCATCTGGAGGAGGATGTCGCAGCCTCCTACAAACTCTCCGTTGAAGTAGACCTGAGGGATTGTTGGCCAGTTGGAGAATGCTTTGACTCCTGTTAGAAGCAAAAGACAGTGCTTTCAGACTACCACTTTTACACTGAATACATTACATACATGTGTACTTTTCAAATGTAATACTGTACAGGATTTCAGTGAGTACTCCTACTTTTACCAGGTTAAGTACTATTTCTACATGACTACAGAGAGTAAATACGTGTACAGTTCTTGGCACCAAAGCTCGACTTTTTGTTGAGTCCATTTACAAGAGTTTTGACTGTTCTTCCCGCTTCTACTATTGAAGAACGTAACGTCTACCCAAATTTAAGCTCTGGAACAGCTACATGATTTTGCACGGCTGATTCGAAGCACCACACCCTAGGGCACTTCTGCAAAATGCTGATAAAAGTCACACTGCTCGGGGAATTATCCAAGACGTTGATGACGTCACAATGGACTCGAGACGTACACGGTGTAGTATTTGAGAGGAAACTTCGACAACATTAAATAACGATGAGTCATTCCACTTAGGACAACAAAAATGATAACATTAACTTGAGTTGATCACTTGTTGCTGCTGTTATCGAAATGTACTGACCTTCTCGAAGCTGCTCGTCCGCCAACACGTTGTACGCAGCGTACTCGTCCACTCCGTGCATCCGCAGAATCTGGACCACGGCGTTACTAAAACCACACAGGGGCTGCTCCGGTGTCCCCTTCATAAAAACCACCACCTTGTCCTTCTTCACCATCTCGCCAAGGTCTTTCTGGAGGTCCGACGTCGCGCACAAGAGCCGCGTTGAGGCCGTCCACATGCGTCCTTCAGCTTGTCCGAAAAGAGAGGACGCCACTCCAAACCGTAGACACCGAGAAGTGTATCTTATTAAACTATTCATGCTGGTTATTCGGATTTAACTTTAAATACAGCGAATAGACAGTCTTATGCGTGGATCTTGCGTCAACACGAGAATTCAACCACTCTACAAAAAAAAAACACTCAACACGCAACTGAGAGGCGGGACCATAACGCCCGTGGATCATTGGTTGGGAGATACGTCGATCGTATTCGTTACAAGTATATTATTAAAAAAAACCGAGGTTCACAAGTAAAACAATGACCAAATAAAGTGACAATATTAAAAACTAAAACACAGTCCCTTAATATGAGGTTCAATTAGAATAGCGATTCAAATCGTGTCAAAAAATAATTACTAAAAATGCATAGACTTCTGCGTCACCCGAGCAAGGACGGGCTGGTGTCATAACTAAAAACAGAATTTGAATTTCAAATACAACACAGAACATCGGATCCAACAAATATAGCAAATAAATCTGTGTGAAGAAATTATGGCATACATGCATACAAAAAACGTAAACGGCGAGAGGCGGAAGTACAGAACGGGCCAGGGTCAGTCGTCATTTTTAAACAAACACGTTTACAATTTTAACTAAAATGTATATACAAACAGCAAAACGTAATTATAATAAAACGTGAGTATGCTGTTCAATAACGATAACAAATGAAATCATGTGAATAAATAGCAACAAAAACCTCATAAAACTTCCGGGTCACTTACGCAAGACGGAAGTGTTTGATGGCTTCGGTCCTTAAGCAAGATGGCGTCGCAAGAACAGAAAAACAACAAATCGGCGAAACCAGGTGGAAAGGGCAGCCAGCCGCTGGTCATTGCCAAAACCGCTGCGGAAGAACAACGCTTAAAATTGGAGCGGTTGATGCGGAACCCCGATAAACCCGCTGCCATCCCCGACCGACAGAAAGAATGGAACCCTCGGGCTCCGCCGGAGTTCGTCCGAGATGTGATGGGCTCCAGTGCCGGGGCGGGCAGCGGTGAGTTCCACGTTTATCGGCACCTCCGACGCCGAGAGTACCAGAGACAAGATTTTCTGGACAAGATGTCTGTCAAGCAAAGCAAGGAGCAGGCCTACTTAAACAAAGTGGAACAAAACCAACGGGAAGCCGAAGAGAGGACGGCAAAGCGCAGGAAGAAGCGGGAAAAACGGAAGCAGAAGAAGCTCATGGCGAAGAAAGCCAAAACAAACCAACAAAATGGAGATGCGGAAAGAAGCCCCGATAGCAGTGAAAACGAAAAGGAGGCTGATGATGACAAAGAGGCTGATGATGACAAAGAGGCTGATGATGATGCTGAGGTCCCGAGCTTTGTCATGGGGAGGAAGTAGTCCATTTGCCAAGAGCCCGGACACTTTTCGAAACACGTTTATTCCCATTTTTGACAAACGAAGAACATGACTGTAAACATTTTTTGAGCAAGTTTCGACGATGCTGCCTGATTGAGCAGCCCTGAAACTGGTTATAGCTGACTCAAAAGGAAAAAAACAAAAAGATCTTGTGCTATACACACTTACTTGTGTCTGTTGTCAAGAAATCTGTGATTTGAACTCTGAAATTGTTTGCAGATCCATCACTTTCCCTCATTTTGTAAATGATTTTAGTAAACAAATTTTGGTAATTGAAAGGTGTCAAGTAGTTTTATCTAAATTCCCAATGGAAAGCTGTGTCTTTTTGATGTCCTTGTGACAAGTACAATTTCGGCATAAGAGCAGGACAACTACACGTTAATTGTGAGTCAGTACGGTGCTCTACTTAACCGTGTGCAACTAGTGACGTCAAGTCTTATTAGTTATCATTTTAGCACTTCAACTAATAGTACAAGGAGTGTGCAGATGTCGAAAATATGCAAAAGTCCGTTTTTACACATTCTGATTCTGAGTCATTTTGGGATTTCGCAACAGTGACATTTCTGCAGCCTTGTGATCTTGCCCCTCGCACATGTCTGTTGCTTGTGGACACGACAGGGTTGCAAAAAGCAATTCAAAGAGTGAAAAGGCGTGACGTCCGGAGGCTCGGAAGCGTCGCGTGCGATGTTCTTTGGACAAAGCTCCTGCTTGCCACGGCGGTGATGGGCTGTCTGTGGACATCACCTTTCTTGGGGCAGGGAGAGAAAAACGGCCGGATATTGTCTGAACCAGGGAAAGCAATTCCTGTTGGACACTGCTGGCTGTCACAAAAGCAAGCGAGACACAAGGGCTTGTAGCATCGGAGCAGTTTGGCAGTTGGCCCGTGAAGCAAAATGACGAATGCGTTGACTGATGTAACTGAAGTGTTCACTCCCAGACACATCTTTTTATTTCCATTCATCAAACATTTGCAGCTGGGGGCGTGTCTTCTCTATCTGCGTCACACAATTTCCCTCAGGACAACATTGCATTGACTCTGTTTGTCCATCACACCGCCAACGGATGCAGAGCATCACACAGCTATCCTCATAATTATACCGATCAACAGCGCTTGCACCTCTACAAATTGTTCCCATAGTTTTTGAAGTTGTTACGTGTGTCATGGCTCGAGGCGTGGCGCAACGCGGCCAGCGCGTCTGCCCCACAGTTGAAGGTTGGTGGTTCAAATCCTGGATGTTACCTTTCTGTGAGGAGTTTGCACGTTCTCCCCCTGTGCAGACTTTATTTTATTTTTTTTTAACCAGGTAGTCTGGCTTCGAACCACAAACTCGCAGGTCAGTTGAACTACCGACTCTCATTTGAAAGTGAATGCTGGTCGTCAGATTTGTTCATTCCTATTCCGGCATCGCTCTTGTCATTTTCATTTTTCCCACGTGGGGGCACTACAACCTCAAAGACGCTGCCACCCTAATCAGCATCTGCCGAGACTTCTATTTTACCTGTTGTTTAATTATGAACCACACTGACATGATGGGATTAATCTCATCATACCTAATGAGCACTTTGATCTTTAATGCTGTTTTCACCGCTGTTTAAGATACCATATGTTCAATTATTAACCTCCTTTTAGCCTACTTATGATTGAAAAGGTAATTGACCTAGAATGTTTCCGTACGTTCATAAATAGTAACATACGTATATAAGTATGGCACTGAGCCATTGGAGCGTGTATTCAACACCTTACTGGTGTGCTGAATCTTTCTGCACACGAGTGCATGATCAGATCATCAGCAAGCTCCGCGGAAGCCTGACATTGAACCTGTTCATTTGAATCAGGTGCGTTGCAACAGGGAGACTTGGAAAACATGCGGGACAGCGGCCCTCCAGGAACTGAGTTTGACACCCCTGGGCCTTACACACTTGCAAAAGTAGCAAAAAGAATGTGATGCAAAACAGTCGCATGCATTTGTTACATAAAAGTTCAAAATCCATGTTGACTGTTTAAAAAGGGATGTGACTCCCACACACACGCACACACGGCTCGGCAGTTTTCCACGAAACAAAAAAAGCAGATTGCCATTGTTTGCTTGAAACTCAGCCCATGGGTCAAAAGCTTGTCCCGAGAGATCGATAGACTTTCAGCGCCACCCACCCGCAGAGAAAAGAGAGCAACTCCACCAAAACTGTCTCGTCCGAAATCAACTCGTGGCGCCTCCGAAAGAGGTCGAGTTCTGTAGTAGTCACTCTGTCTTTTATGTATGGGTTAACATTCACGCTGTGCCTCGAGCCAAGCTGAGAAAGTCTTGAAATGCTCTGGGGAGGAGGGGGGAGTGCTAATTTGTTTTTCTAAACAAAGAAGCGATCCACCATGGGTCCATTTTTATAAAACACTTCTCATTCGGCCTGTGAAATGAGCTGCATCCCAACAGTTTTGGGGCAATAGGCGGGGCAGACCCTGGACTGGTCACTGGCCAATCACAGAGATTTGCGATATCATTGTGAAATGTCGAAATAAAAGGTGTTTGTTTGTGTCTGTCGACCCATCCATACCTTGTTGAACCTTTGTTTTTATTGGCATAACGGGTAATAAATACTTTAGCTTGTTAGCATTTTCCTGTCATTTTTATTCATCTCCCAAATCCCACTTCCAACCTCCATCTTGCTGCAAGGGCGTGTGTAGAAGTTGAAATTGTCCTCAGGTACAACTGAGTGATGCAAGTGATCTTTTCAGAATGACCCTCCCTGAAAGCCGAGCTCCAGCCCCCCGAGGACTCGAGGCCGCATGAGTGTTTTCAGTGTGCTCAATTTTAAAGCAGCTGTTTTTTTTTTCTTTTTCTGTTCCTTCTTTCTGGGGCGCATATATTAGAAGAAGCTGTTTTGATGGGCTGTTGATGAAAACGCAGGGCGGATGCCCCACAGGCGCAATTATTTAATGGCTTGCTAAAACAGTATACATTTCTCATTTAGCGTACATGTCTCGTAATAGAGCCCTGCTAATCGGTCTGTTTATGCTTTTATTTCCTGTTTCAACAGCCCCGTGTATGTCTGCGACCATGCTGGCATCATTAAGGTAACGCAAATTACATTTATCATTTGAGTTCATGAAACCAGTGGGCCTGAAGTCAATTCTATTTGAACTCGACCCCGTGGTATTGCACAGCCCGTTTTCTTTCCAGGAGCGGCAGGCGTAGGAGAGTTGTGCTCATGCACGTCTATTTATTGCAATCAATTCATGGTGATCAGGTAAGCTGCAGCCAATTGAAAGAAATAGCTCAATATGTACAGTACACGGGGCGCGGGAGTACAATGCACCGCATAAAATTGAGTGTGTCAACAACGCCGAGTTCATGTCCTCCAGAGAGGCCGTGCAGTGCAGCATATCGATCCATCGCGTGGGACGCCCTCCGGCGAGTGGATTTCGAGTCGGCAATAATTACCGCTCTCTCCGTCGGTGAGCCAAGACAACTAGTCAGGGTTGCGTAAATTCATCAGCACGCCGATTGCTGTTTCCACAAGGAGGCAGCACTCAATTGCCGCGGTTTCAACATTCTATTGTTTCCAAAGCCTCCCGAGCTATGGTGCAATATCACCCTTTTTGAACCTCTCATTCTGATGGTCAGACTTGTCAAGAGGCCCAAAGGTCTCTCATTTTTTGGGGGGGAGTGGGGGGAGGGTCATCCAAACACACTTGAGGGGAATATCACATGTTAGAAGTTGGCTTTCATCAGCAATTGACACATTGAATTGCATCCAAAACCGATTCCTCGATACTCTTCATTCAGGTCTCCCCACACGAATACAGTAGTGGGAACAGATCATCAATTCATTTCTTTTCTTGACTCCTTATCCTGTTCAGGGACGCGGATGAGTGGGAGTCGACCCCAGTTGGGTTTGGATTAGAGGCGGGATGCACATTGGACTGGTCAGCAGCCAATCGCAAAGCACATGTAACCATCAACCATTTCAAGTCACATTGAGACTTCTGAGCAATTTAGAGTTCAAGGCATTTTTGGGGATGTGGGAAGAAGTCAGAGTGCCTGGGCCGGAAGCAACCAAAGGGACAATAAATTGTCATTTGATTGAATATTTTAAAAAATACTAATGGTATACATCACTTTATTAAAAAAAAAAAAAAAAAAAAAAAAAAAACTCAGATCATCAGCAAGCTCTGCGGAAGCCTGGCATTGAACCTGTTCATTTGAATCAGGTGTGTTGCAACAGGGAGACTTGGAAAACATGCAGGACAGCGGCCCTCCAGGACCTGAGTTTGACACCTATGGGTTAAAGGAACATGGTATCAATTAATCAATAATTCAATACAATTAGAAAAATGTAAAATAATAATAGATAAAATAAACTTTGGAGAATTTCAGCCAGATTTAAATCAAGAAGGTCTGCAGCTTTTATTCAAATTTGTTTTCTTTATTTTTAAAGTGAACATAAAGAAAAAAAAACATATACACAGCATACGTGCATATAGCTGGTGGTGGAATTCTAGTTTGAAATGAATTAAACGTAAGAAATGCATCAAATCGCATCCAAGTATCTGATGCAATTTGTTTCCTAAAAGGAACACAAAGAACCCCCCCCCCTTTTTTTTTTTTTTTTTTTTTTTTTTTTTTTGCATGTTACATCAGTGAGGATGGTCCAGACAGATAACGTATCTCTTTGCTAGGACAGAGGCAGGTCTGCCGGTTAATTTTTAACCAAGGTGACTGCCGGAGGTGTATAAATTGGAGAAAATTCTGCTGATCTGCCCGCAGCAAAGAGGACATTTTAAGGTAAGAAACGGTGAGGGGAATCTTATTCCACTTGATTCAATGCATGTCGGGGACTGAAATATTGAACGCCTCGGCGGTTCCATTCGATCATCGCATCATGTATCTCATCATGACATCACGTTGTCTTATGCAGATTAGTTTCACTCTAACGTGTCTTTTCGAAATTGTTGCGCACAGGCTGGAAAGATGCACGGTTTCTTTGCAAGCTGCACTGTGGCGGCGCTGCTGCTGGCTACATGCCTGGCTATCCCCCACCACCACCACCACCAGGGAGACCACGCGGATTGCCATGTGCTGTCCTCTCCCAATGCAGATTTTGGTTTTGCCCTTTACAAAAACCTACGAGCCAAAGCAGGCGCCGCGGAGAACATCTTCTTCTCCCCGCTGGGCATCTCCACCGCCCTATCCTTAATGTCCACAGGGGCACACGGTGAAACCCACAGCCAGATGTTTTCCACCCTGGGCTACAGTGGCCAGGAGCAGGCTAAGATCAACGACGCGTACAAGCATCTTTTTGAGATGCTCGCCCACCACGACCAAGATCACCACCAGCAACTGGATGTCAGTAACGCGGTGGCGATCGACGACGGCTTCAGTCCCAGCGACGCCTTCATGAAAAATGCCAAGGAATTCTACTCCGCTGAGGTCCTCAAGGTTGACTTTGGCAAATCTCAAGAGGCGGCGGCCGAAATCAACTCGTACATCGCCAATAAAACCCACAACATGATTAAAGAACACGTGAAGGATTTGGACGAAGACATGGCGATGATGCTGATCAACACCGTCTACTTCAAAGGTAGGAGAGCCAAGCGCCGACGAGTCGCGACCACTTGACAAACGTTTCAATGTCCCGTTCCAGGAGAGTGGTTCCAGCCCTTCAACAAATCGTTGACGGGGAAGGCCGATTTCCACGTGGACGAGACGACCAAAGTGGAAGTGGACATGATGAAGAGGACGGGTCGCTACGACATGTATTACGACAACGACAACGGCACCATCATCCTCCTGCTGCCTTACAAGAGCAACACTTCCATGATGATCGTCCTGCCCGATGAGGGAAAGATGAAGGATGTGGAGGGCTTCATCAACAAGGACTACATCGAGCACTGGCACAACTCTGTTTATAGACAGTAAGAATGAAAGCTAACGCACAGCACAGTATAAGGGGGGAATGGATTCATAATAGGACGTCTTTTATTTGTTCACGAGATGTGCTGCGCTGCGCATTGCACTGACGCAACGACTCGTTGATATGTTTCAGATCCGTGGACGTTTTCCTGCCCAAGTTTTCCATTTCCGCCAAAGCCGCGTTGGACAGCACATTGAAAGAAATGGGAATAACCGCCGCTTTCGGAGACACTGCCGATTTCTCCGGCATTTCCGATGATGTCAAGCTGAAGCTGTCCAAGGTAGAATTAATAGAACACAGAGACACTTCTCGAAAAAAAAAATGTTCGGTGTGCATAGACGTGTAATACATTAGGAGTCCTGTGAAGGTTAAGAACTCAAAATATCAAAGTAAAAGTGGCCAGGATGGTTTGGCCCATACATACAGGCTCCTTCAAAGGTCCCTTTCGCTCTTTTTAACCGAGCGCTTCTTCCGCAGGCGTCCCACGAGGCCGTTCTGAACGTTGATGAAACAGGAACCGAGGCAGCGGCCGTCACGACCCTGGAGGTGATGCCGATGAGTATGCCGATGAGGATTAAAATGGATCGACCCTTCTTGGTCTTGATCGTGGAGGACTCCACCAAGAGCGTTCTTTTCATGGGCAAGATCGCCAACCCCACAGCCAAGTAAATAAAAGAGTGGTCCCTCATTTAACGCTGGCCACGGGAGGCGACGTAAAATTCAAAAAGATCCAAGACGGTGGATTCCACAAATGTGTTTTTTATAAGTCTTTCCAAAAGGTGACCAGAACCAAGCCAAAAGATCCGATTGTCTGAACACGACGACAATGCATTTTCGCAACGGTGGTGTACGCATCACGAATAATGATCGGCAAAAGAATGAGCAAATGGTGTGTGTGCTGTTTGATCTTTGTTCAACTTGATGAAATAAAGATGATGAACAACGGTGCTATTTTGAGATCATCTTTCAACCCAGACAAGACAAACTGCACGTGCACACTGGTCAACAGTTTTTTGTTCACCAGAGATGCACGTAAACATTTAGCGATCATTTTTTTGGGTGCTGTTTTCAAATCTGATAATAATAATACCGTAATAATAATAATACTAATGCTGATGGCGAAACGGTGATCGACTGGTTAGCACATCTGCCTCAGAGTGCAGAAGTGCAGGGTTCGAATCTGGCTCCGGCCTTCCTGTAAGGAGTTTGTATGTTCTCTTTGTCCTGCGTGGGTTTTCTCCGGGTACTCCAGTTTCCTCCCACTTTCCATAAACATGCGTGGAGGGTTAATGGAACACTAAAAAAAAAATCTCAAAGCCAAGCTACAGCCTGTCGAGGACACACGAGGCCGCATGAGCGTTTGCCTCCAGAGTATTGCTCACTTTTAAAGCAGTGTGTGTTCTTGTGCGCTTTCTTTTTTTTCTGGGACTCTAGGAATGAAGGAAGCTGTTTTAGGAGGGATATGATTAAAAAGCAGGGCAGGAACCCGGGAGAGGCAATTATTTAATGGCTAAGTTAAATGACATCCATTTTTTACTGAGGCTGCGTTCTGTAATGGGGCCACGCTAACGGTTCCGTCTATGTCGTCCCTGTTTCAATTGCTCCGAGATAGATCGGCTCCCACTCCAACATAATCACGGTAACAGAAATTTAATTGGCCCGGAAATTCAATTTGAAATCCACAGTATTGTGTTTGGGTGGCACCGCACAGTCCAATTTCTTTTGATGTTCCACGAGTGAAGTCTTGGGGAGCTGTCTGAGAATTTACCCGCTGTGCTGATGCGAGCACATTTCTTGCAAAGAATCAGTGGTGATGCAGGTCTGGTATTGACAACGGAGAGAAACGAACCGTTCTGTACTCGCTGCGTGCATTGTATGCATTTCGCCACGTGCAATTGCCTCAACGATGTGGAGTTCAAGTCCTCCGGGTGGGCCTTGCAGTGCAGTATCTCAATCCAACAAGGACCTGAGGATATATCCGTCGATATATCCGTTTTTAAATGTATTCCTTTGGTTGTTGTCATGTTTTGTCTTGATTGTGTTGCAGCTCCCGCTGGAGTGGAAGGCGTTTCCCTCCAGCAGGTGCACCTGTGCCTCGTTTCCCCATCAAGCCTGGCCGGGTATTTAAGGACTCCGACTTCACCTGCGCTTTGTCAGTGTACTCACCTTGCTTTGTTGTGCCTCAAATGTGCTTTTTCTCGACCTCGCGATACCATTCATAGTCACTCGTTTTGTTCATTTATCCTTGTTGTAAGCAATTTTTTTTCTTTTTCTAAATGTCTTTGTTAAGGCAGTTAACCGTCAACATTATTTTAGAGCGGCTATTTAAAACACTCGCGTATTGTTGCTACGTCAGGCCTCCGAGAGATGACACATTGATATTTAGCCAGTTAGGTAAAATGATGCATCGAGAACAGTCTGATGACTAACAAAGCTTATCCGTCACAAATAATACAAATGTCAGACCGCAAATGAGTTCATCAGTCTTTCAGCGTGACACATCGATTACCATCGGTCAATTGAACTTGTCGAGGGTCCCCAAAGGTCTATTGTATTTAGATTGCATTCTTGACTCTTATTAAAACTTTGACGCATGCTTTGCGCGCCCTTTATGGGAGCAGCAAATTACACTCCATATCTTTTTTTCTGTAATTACGTGTTAATTGCTCTGAGCTTTAATGCGTACAATATTTTTGTTCCCCCCCACGAGACGCATCAGGATTACAATTGACCAAAGGAAATGAAAATTAGAAATAACATCTCATCATGGTTCAGCCGGTTTCTCCTCAGCGAGACATTAAGATCACTTTCATGGCAGATGAAGAGTTGTGCAGTCAAAGCTAAACGGCCGATTGTTTTAGTCTGATCCTTGTTTAAAATCTTTTTTTTTTTTTTTTTTTGTTCCCCAGCGCTGATGTCATTTCTTCCACATAATCAGCTTTTGGGATAACAGCGAGATCCCGAGAGAAAATGTAATCTGCTTATAAATGAGTGTACAATAATAGCGATTGTCTCAGTCACCCAGTTGAAGATGTGTAAATTAGCCCCGAGAAGCCGACCGGCGCAGCAAAGTGCTTCTTTACACTTTTTGTTGTGTTATTCTCAACTTCCATCATTTGCCTTTCATTGATTTTTTTTTTTGTGTGTGTTTTGCTCCTCATTTATCCCGAGTGTGTTGTGGAGATAGAATTGAGTAATTTACAAATAAGATGATGATGAGATACAGAAAGACTACTGCGAACAACAAAGTTTTCCTCTGGGTTAACTCACGCTGTGGTGAAGGGAGCCAGCGAATACAAAGATGGGTTTGCCGCGAGGCGGGCGGAGGGGGCTTTTCTCTCTCAATATCACGATTAGCATGATTTTGGGTGATCTGGCTGCAGGGTCAAATCAGGAGATGGAAAATCAGTGTTAGCTCAGACGCTATCAGGAACCTCATGGTTGTCATCTGCAAATGATTCATTGTCCTTTGACCTTGTCAACAGACGTTTTTACACAATCCGCACACATACACTTTGTCTCCCCAACGGTCACGCCCCCACCATCCTTAAGCCCCAGGAGAGAAAAAAAACAAACCCGGAGCCGTGCCTGTTGTCTTGATGCCGCCATCCTATGTCATTAAAATACAAGGTCAATTCGTTACGCATGCGGTATCGTTCTCAGGCTTGAGTTTGAAACTCTGCCATATTTCGTAGTTCAAAGTCGTTGCGTCAGTTCAGTTAGGCGAACAAATGTTGCACAGCAGTATCCACCCACACCGCTGCCACCTCTGTCTTGAAAGGGCTACAAAACTCGCCGCCGTCTCGGCGCCGCCGCCACATAAAGGCGCGTTCATTAGTCTTTCTAGTGTTCTCCATCTTCTCAAGATCCACTCAGATCTCTCGCCTTTGGTTTTTATTCCATCTCGAAGAAGATCAAATGCGTGGCGTGCATGGAAATGAAGACATGATGTGACAAATGGTGAAGTCCGCATGCATAATTGATTTCTCTGCCAGGTCGAGGGCGCGTTGTCGTCGAGTTATTTCAGAGTGTTGCTGTGCAGAAGATGAAGTGGTGAGGTGCTCGAGGCTCTCTTCTCAGTCCGTGCTGTTTGTTAAACATGGTGACCACGCCTACAGATTTCCCCCGTCGGCAATGTTTAACATGAAATTATGATGGCCAGTGGCCACAGCATTAATTTCAAACGTGCAAAATGAGCTTTCAACATAAAAAAAGCGTATCAAAGACAATAATTCAACAAAGGTCGGAGCCGGAATCAAACCCTGCACCTCTGCACTGTGAGGCGGACATGCTCACCAGTCGAGCACCGTGCTGCACTAGTTTTTTGTGAAATTAAAAGCTCTGGTACTGGCTTTTTCTTCTTGAAAATAATTATTATTTCAAAAAAGTATATTACACAATAACAATCCGCTAAGGTTGTAATTTAGCGTTGCAATATGTACCGTATTTTCCGCACTATCAAGCGCTTCGGAGTACAAGGCACACCTTCCATGAATGGCCTGTTTTAAAACTGTTTTTTATATCTAGGGCACACTGCATTATAAGGCGCGTAGAATAGAAGCTACAACAGTGGCTGAGGTTGCATTATGAATCCACTAGATGATGCTACGCTCAAGGGAATACAACATAACACAGCTTTATTTATGTAGCACTTTCACAACCACTGCAGCTGTAACCAATCGCTTTACAGAACATTTAAAATACGACGTAAACCATGTATAAGGCGCATCGGATTATAAGGCGCACTGTCGGCTTTTGAGAACATTGAATGCTTTTTTAGGTGCGCCTTACAGTGCGGAAAATACGGTACATATTCTCCTTTCAAGCGGAAAAATTGTTTATGCCGCTGTCTGGGTTATTGATTTTCCTTGCATATTATCCTCTCCAGTGCTCATGGAGCCACACACAAAAATGAGTCGATGTGAGGAAAACCGCACTCTGTGCACTCGGGTCTTTTTGATGAGCTCAGCCATCTGAGTATGACAGCCGGATGTCACCCATCGATAGGAGCCTCAACTGAGGCGCGTGCGTTTGGGTGGATAAAAAGGATAACCCCAATTTCATCCGGACGCATCTCCTTAGCTTAAGTGACATCTTACTGTATCATGAATTGAACTCCTAATGAAGCGAATGGCGGGGAATAAGAGTCGGGACTGCATTCTGCTTGCAAGCTAACCGCGTACAGTAACAGACAACAATCAGATGTTCTTCCACGAGGGGACAGAATGTCATCTTTTGTGTTGATTGTGTTGCAGCTCCAGCTGGAGTGGAGGGCGTTTCCCTCCAGCAGGTGCACCTGTGCCTCGTTTCCCCATCAAGCCTGCCCGGGTATTTAAGGACTCTGACTTCACCTGCGCCTTGCCAGTGTACTCACCTTGCTTTGTTGTGCCTCAAGTGTGATTTTCCAGACCTCTCGATACCATTCCTTGTCGCTCCCATTTTGCTCGTAGATCCTTGTTAACAAGTGTTTTTGTTATTCTAGTATTGCTCGTTGTTTTATTGTGTTATTGGACTTTTGGATATTTCGTTTGAGTATTCTCTGTGTTTTATTGTACCTTGCCTTTGCAAGCGCATTTTGTTTCATGCATTGTTTATTCCTGGCGCCTCGTGACCAGTGATTTCAGTTCATACTTTGTCGGTGCCATTTTCTTTGAGAAATATTTTTGTCATTACACTTTGTCTGAGCCTGCATCTTTGGAAGCCTGAAACATGATTCAAATCGCATTGGCACCCCCACATGTACGTATGCGCTTATTTGTACTTTCTAGCCTCCTATTCTGTCAGGAGCAAAGTGATTGGTTCATCCACGACTCGTATTTACATGATTCAATAACAGATACGCTCATGTCTGATCACGGTCATCTCATCTGCTCACTGAGCAGGACACACGTGCACCAGTAGGTGACGCTGTGGCGTCACCGTAGTATTTTGGGAGCAAAATCTCCTTTGTC